CGTTTGAATCATCAGTGGCAAATCCTTTAAATGAAAACGTACTTACGTGAGTCAGAACTGCCGGCATTTTAGTCTAACGTTACTCTCCCAGGATCAGTAAACAGTCCTCCATAAAATGTACCGGCAATCCACATCACTAAGTTGATGTATTTCCTCAGCGACCAGCACGGATCAGCTCTAGGCATGACGAAGCGGATATCGTCCTCTTTTGGAAGACCAAACAAAGTAGTTTCGCTTTCACAACGAAGCACACAGCGTCTTCACGACATGGCGGCAGCGGCAACAACAATACTACAGCGAGAATAAAAGTTACGCCTTCTTTCTTTGCGTGAACATTTGGGAGGCGTTATGCAAATCTTCCCACATAGTGAGGTAGATATGTGGGGGCGTGTTCGAACGAGCCGTTTTAGGTAGGCGTGGCTGACTCTTAACGTTTATAAAGAATATCTCTTTGGATTTGAGACTTTAGTCTTTGCTAATTTACAGATCTTCTTTATGCACCAAGAGCTTGTAACACTCCAAAGAGAAAGGAAAAAATGAAATTGCATCATATGACCCCTTTAATTCACAAAAATAATAATAATATTTTTATTCAGCAAGGACACAATAAGTTGACAAACGTGAAAGTAAAGATATGTTACACAAAATTTCTATTTTAAATAAACGCTGCTCTTTTGAACGTTCTATTCATCAAAGATCCTATGGTTTCCACAGAAATATGAAGCGGCAGCACTGTTTTCAACACTGATATAATAATAATAAATGTATCTTGAGCAGCAAATCAGCAAATTAGAATGATTTCTGAAGGATCGTATGACATGTAATGGCTGCTGAAAATTCAGCTTTGCATCATAGGAATAAATTATATTAAAAAAAAAAAAAAACTAAAAAAAAAACAGTTTCTTTTTTAATTTGTTAGAAAAAGAAAAAATTGAAAACTGTTTCTATCGCAATGTTTCTCCTGTATTATGATCAAATAAATGCAGCAATGGTGAGCAGAAGAGACTTATTTCAAAACATTACTAAAAACTTACTAATCCCAAACTTTTGAACAGAAGTGTATATACAATTTTAATATAACTTTCTGCATCTAAGACAAGTAATTTTAGCGGTTGTCGTCATACAAATATAATTGTGCACTTGTGTTGTTTACCTTTGTTTTGATCGCAACCAGTTCTTGACCGTTCACGAATGACAAGAGTTTTCACTGAGAACAGGAATACTGATATTACTCATAATATTAATTTTGATATTAGTTGCCCACACAGTCCTTAAGGTTTGTTCTTAAAGTGATTTCAGTCTGCTTAATGCTATAAAAATAAGACTACTGACTATAAGATTATTGTAAATTAACTGTATATTAACTAAATTTGTTGCTGGTTTAGCATGCTACTATAATCTTGACAAACAACCATTGAAGATTTGAAGATGACAGCAGTTGTATTTGCATGCCTACTGCCAACACAGAAAATCAAGATGTTTGACACATGAACTGGCATGCCTTAAATAAGGACTTTGATCAAACCATGCCATCCCATGGCATGAAAAAACTCAAACTAAATGTTTGATAAGACTGTGTTTCACACGTGCTCTCACTGAAAGTAAACAAACAAAAGGCAGCAGGTGCAGAGTAGGAGGTGTAGGTGTATGTTAATCTCATCTTTCAGCACAACCAGGTCAAGACTAGGGTTGGGCCGATAGACGATGCCATCGTCCATCGCCGATGGCTGACAGACATCACGATGTTAAGATGACATCGTGAATCCTCTCCCACAATCCGCCGCATCCCAGTTCCGTGTTCGGAAAGGAAATGAAGTGTACTGTCTACGGAAATCCTAAAGGGAATAAATAGCCTACGAGATGGGAGGATAAAAAAATATTTCAATACTTTTTCTCGCAATTATATCGTTGGGTAAGTATAGGCGACTGTATATAAATTGCGGGCATCAGGGAGCCGTTGAAACCGCTTTCGATTGCGCGCTCTCATTTTACTTTCACTTTCACTTTCGAGATTCACGATCACAAGAACTCTATACTACAGCGGTAGTACTTACCACACATTTGACAAGATTAGATGTTTGTCATTGGTGCTCAGGATCTGCAAATCATTCGCCATCGTCCTATCAGACATTTCTCCTTACTCTGTGTATGTGGTAAGTGAACTTTCATGTACTGTAATGCAACAGGCTACCACTAGCAAGCGGCTAACCTTTTAGTGGCTCCGTATAAGGCGTTATTTGTTTCACGCTTCGGGCACAACCCTAACCCCGCCCCCACCCCCTAATGTCATCGTCCATCATGATGTTTCACTGTAGACGTCGTCCGATGCCAATTTGGTAGACATCACCCAACCCTAGTCAAGACCATCAAATAAATCCTTCTGAGAAAACCAAACACATACTAAGTTGCTATATTTACAGGACATTTTGTTAGTGCAGTTGAAAGAGATGTGTTAAAAGTTACACTGAGATATACTAATATTAACTGTTAATATTAAGTCATATCAACTGAGAATATATGTGATTAATTCAATTAAATCACATTATGTATTTAATTAGCTTAAATGTTTTTACTGACAACCCCAATTTTTATAAGCCATTTGATTGCTACTCTACACAAGCACTCACAATGTAAATATTATCTAGCAAATTAAATATTTCTTCTAGCATAAATATAAAAATAGCATACTGATTACTTTCCTAACTATTTTGAAATGACTTTTCAAGTCAGTTTTATTTTATTATTATTACTCTAGGTTTTAAATTCCCTTAATTTCCAGGGTTTCTGCTAAAAGAATACATTTAAAAAAAACTTTAAATAAGAAGGATGACATTACTGAAGTAGAAGGGCAGTGAGGTGTAGTTGTGAACCTCTCTGTAGGCAATGAGGTTGATCTCGTGCTGTCGTTGTTGTTGTTGCAGTCTGTGTTTGGTGTGACGATGATGACAAACGCAACAGCAGCTCAGGATGAAGATGATGGCCCACACCAGCCAGAACCCTGCAGAAAAATAAAACACATGGAAAAAATCCTGCACACAAACCAACAAAATATTTTAAATGACTTTGTACGCAATACAGCTACTTAAAACCTGACTAATTCCTCTTAGACTAAAACCACAGATAATGCACAAATGGTCCTCTGCATAAGGATTTGTGAGATTCGTAATTTTTACTCCACAGTTTGCAGAAGGTCAAGCATCTTAAGCTTTTCTCCTCATTTCAGCACATATGTGACCCTGGACCACAAAACCAGAATTAAGTCACTTGGGTATATTTGTAGCAATAGCCAAAAATACATTGTATGGGTCAAAATTGATTTTTCTTTTATGCCAAAAAATCATTAGGATATTAAGTAAAGATCATATTCCATGAATATATTTAGTAAATTTCCTACTGTAAATACATTAAACCTTAATTTTTGATTAGTAATATGCATTGCTAAGAACTTCATTTGGACAACTTTAAAGGCGATTTTCTCAGTATTTAGATTTTTTTTGCAGCCTCAGATTCCAGATTTTCAAATAGTTGTATCTCTGCCAAATATTATACTATCCTAACAAACCATACATCAATGGAAAGCTTATTTATTCAGCTTTACACAGATGCTGTATAAATCTCAATTTCAAAAAATTGACCCTTATGACTGGTTTTGTGGTCCAGGGTCACATATTCTGTTTAGTTCTTCTGAGCCTCTTAAGGCTTGGTCTCATTTATTCCTGCACAGCAAAATTCCACAGGCAAAATAAAGTAATCTCAATGGCAATCAGCATAATCAGGAAATGCACCTGATATTGAAGAAATGTCACGTTTGATTCGAGTTTATTGAATTTTTGGAAGTTTAATTTCATCATCATTCCTGTATCACACGGTGCCTCCTTTGCCATTCTAGGGTAAATGTGACCGAGCCTTTATGAATTCCTATCAAAAATTGTGACCCTGATTAAACACAATGATGCACTTACACCAGAGTTCATAGTAGTAGCTACAGCACTGGGACTCTCCACAACAGTGTCCTGTCTCACACGCGTAGCTTTTATTATTCACACCCTCGCAGTGAAGTACCTGCTGGGGAAAACAAACAAATAAAATAAAATAAAAAAGCAGGATACAAGATAAATGTCTTGTGGATTCAACAATTATCTCTAGAACAGCAAATCTTAAAGGAATAGTTCACCCTAAAATGAATATTTGCTGAAAATGTACTTACCCTCAGGCCATCCAAGATGTAGATGAGTTTGTTTCGATTTGGAGAAATGCAGCATTGCATCACTTGCTCACCAATGGATCCTCTGCAGTGAATGGGTGCCGTCAGAATGAGAGTCCATACAGCTGATAAAAACATCACAATAATCCACACGACTCCAGTCCATCAATTAACGTGAAAAGAAGTGAAAAGATGTGTTTGTGTAAGAAACAAATCCATTATGGAGACGTTTTTAACTTCAAACCATTGCTTCCAGCTAAAATAATAAAAATATGAGTCCTCAATCCATAATATTGCTTTCTCTCTGCAGAGGAACCATTGCTGAGCAAGTGATGTAATGCTAAATTTCTCCAAACCTGGTCCCATGAAGAAACAAACCCATCTACATCTTGGATGGCCTAAGGGTAAAAAA